GTATGGGGTGAAGTTCGATTGGCAACTTTCCAAATGAAGGCTTTGTCAGTTTGCAAGTTATGCAATTATCTATGAATTTACTAACGTACTTTGCCATATGCTCATAACAATAAAATTCGTACATTTTGTCCAAAGTTTTTTCGCAACCAAGATTTCCAATTGCTCGATGGACATGATTCACTACAGACCACCTAAAGGACCTAGGGACAACTGGAAGACATCAAGTTTTACCGTTTCTTTGGATTTTACGAAAAAGCAATTTCGAACGTAATTTGTAAGTTTTTGCCACACTCTCTCCAAGTTCATTATTATGGATTTTTGAAATAATTGACGACGTCTCTGAATCTTTTTGTTGCTCGGTAAGGAGCCAATTGTCTGTTATATCAGGCAATAAAACACGCTTATATTTTGGATTTTTATGAGCATGGGTTGGCATTTCAGTTGGTTCCAGACTACGTGAGAGGAAATCAACGTGAGCCATTTTTGCTGACGGTCTTTACTGAATATCAAAATCAAACGACTGCATGTTACCCCACCACCGATGGACTCTTGCTGTGAGTAAAATTTTATTTCTCGTGGCTTTCAGGGAATTGCAATCGGTAAATACAGTGAAATGTCGGCGTAAGAATGGTATCGAGAGTCTGTGGAGGATGTTTGCTTGCTAAAATACTCGATGACACGAGGCTTGTTTTCAATTTTATGAAGAAGTATAGCTCCATATCCATCGATACTGGCAACCGTGTACAGTTCGATAGGATACTAGGGGTCAAATATTACAAGTACAGGCTCGTCGGTCAGTGCTGTTAAAACAGTTTGACGTATTTGCTCATGCTCGGGTTTCCACTGTAAAATTTTATTTTTGCAGGTGAGGTTATACAACGGTTTCATTTTTTCAAAGTACTTAGGAACAAATTGTCTATTATATGACGCTAGACCTATGAATTGCCTTACTTGGGTAACCGATTGTGGAGGAGGTATATTGCGCAATGCCTGTATTTTTCTTGGGTTCGGACGAATTTCCCCATCCTTGACTTGAAACCCAAGATAATCATCACTTGATTTTAGGAACGAACATTTTGCAACGTTGAATAAAAAACTCGCGTCAAATAAAGTTTGCAGTACTGTCTGCAACCTCGAAAGTGGCACTGCTTTTGTTTGTGAAGTAGTCATAATAATACACAACGACATATGAATGGGCAAGACAGAGGGCGCGTTCTTTAACCCGAAAGGCATGGTTAAATACTTGCGGTTCGCTTAAGCGAAAATGGGTGAATAGGAATTTGGTGGAAACCGCTTGTCATATCCAGACACGAAATGTATTGTGCGCCCGTAATGTAGAGATTTGACAACTAATTAGCGGTAAAGGATATCTTTCGGATACGATATTTGCATTTAATTCGCAACGTCTATCCGAGCCATTTTTCTTTTTTAACGAGCAGCATTGGGCTGGCAAAAGGGGAACAGCTGCGGTGGATAATATTTGAGGCCAACAATTCCCTAATTTTGTCTCTTACGATTTCCTTTTCGTCGATACTAAGCCATATCGGCTTAGTCGCCTTTGCACAGTCTTATTAGGATCAATCAAGCGTATTTCCAGCTCACCAGTGGTGACTTGGCTTTTCGGAAACCCGTCTATAAATGCGATTGAAAATTCACCTAAAATGTCTAATAAACTAGACTTATCTTCACCACACAACTCGGTATCAATACTGGCAAGATTGGCACGAATATTCAAAGCACACAATTTTTGTCTTATAAATTCGTATTAAGTTTTATGTTTACGCCAAAATTCGGAGTTAAAACTTCCCGGCCAATTATATCATAATCAATTTAACTGTTAAGAAATACATAAAAAATAACATCAAAAGAATATCCACTGATAATGACATTTGACATAATTTGTAAAGTGTTGTTACTGCATTGCTTCCAATACCTTTTAAAACTACTGATTCCCGTCGTCCAATACAACCCGAAGCGATATGTCCAGGAGCTCCACACTTGTAACAAGTGTGTGTCATCCTTCAGATGAACGGATAGACTTTGGATAAGATCCTTGCTTGGGGCTTAGTGTTGTTTTTTTCTCGAACGGCAGTCAGCAAATTTGTATCAATTTTTCAGCAAAACTAACATCTTACGGGTGCGTGCATACGCTGTCTTTTGCTTGCAGAGTTTTCCTTAACAGGACGCTCTTTCTTTTTACCCGCAGCTCGTTTTGCAATTCGGTACGTGTTTTAATGTTGGCTGTAAAAACCGTACGTTGCAGTTTGGTATCGACTTGGGCGCCATGCGCTTGAACAACGGATATGGAGATTTGTTCAGTAGTCCTTGACCTCCATTTTGCCATAAGTGTCGTCATTAATCAACTTCCATACAAAGAAATGCACTCGCTGTCTTTTGGACTACTATTGTGAATATTAAAGACAGTAGCTGATGGAGTTTCATTGCCTTCGAATTGTTGCAAAAGCAATTCCTTAAGCTCGTCTCATGTCATTGAAGAGAAACAAATCTGTGGCAGCCAGTTAGAAGCGCTGCCTTCCAGGGATTTGCCTAACAAAATGAGCAAAGCACTGCCATCCAAAGGGTTTTCTGATACAATGAGGTCGACCGTGGAGCACCAAACAGCTGCACAACACCAACAGAGTCGGGATTAAACGTTGGTAGTACAACTGCCTTTTTTTTCTCCTGGCATTGACTGCGATTGCGATGCAGCGTCTCCAAGAGTGTGCACAAACGATCGTCGGAAATGGCTTGGTTTGAAGGTGATCCCACTTCTGATGTCGTAGCATGGTTTTCTACCAGCTCATCCTCCTGCGTTTCCACCATCGTGGCGCCAGCCTAACGTTTCCTCGGCATTAACATCATTTGCTTCAGCTTTAATTTTCGACTAACTGACATTTCACAATTCTGCTCACACAATACATACAGTATTGGCCGACGTCTCCAAGTCAAAGGCTATATTTTTCTCGCTCTAATGCGAGGCTACGCAAAACAGACAACTCTGTTGGGCTCGCAAAACCACGTGTTATTTTGAGACAGAAGAAGAAACTAGGAAGAGGATAGGTAATGGCATAGATAAAACGCTCAATATCGTCTCTTTTGGACTTCTTTTATTAGTTATGCTCCATTAGATTAAAGGGTCGTAGTTAAATGGTAATGAATTTAATTGAACAAATGAAAATAATAATAATAAAATGGTAATATTAAAATAATAATAACGATGCGACATATATAAGAATGTATATGAATTAAATCACTTAATTACACCTAGCCTACCTAAAAAGCTTTTGGGTCGCTAAGGGCTACGGAAAGAATTCATTTTTTTTTTTTTGTTAAATTTAAAATTGGGCAAAATGCCAAAAAAATGTATCTTAATTATACAGTTGTCTATCTCTCTCATATTTTTAAACAATTCAGAGGGGACCCAGAGTTGGACAGCTTCTTGAACCCTAGTTCCCGCCTCTAGACTGGGGTGGTAAAACGCTCTTTCAACGGATTCACTCGGTTTTTTTCTTCTTCGCCTGTTGGAGCTCTGCCCTTTGGGGCTTGCTGCTAGATCTTGCTTGGGTCGCCGTAGGCCTGGCCACGCGTAGGGTCTCTGGCCTGGGAATTATCTTGGGTGGGCCTAGCTGGCTCTTTGGGGCAAAGCAATTTTTTGTTTCCATTAAATGGACAACTGCGTGTAGGGGTATTTGTGTTTGGAAAACTTGTTTGCCATTTATAATTCCAGCATTATGTTTGCACTTAATACATTTTACGTTATGATTTAGCACACTAGCAATTTATGCTGCAACATAGCAAACCTGTTCATTTATATATACCAAAATTGGTACATATATCAAATGAAACATAGATACAGGTTTGAAAAAATCGGAATCAGAATTTTATAATTTATTGTATTCTTCATTTATTAAATCTTCCTACCAAATCTCTTTACTACAGTAGTTTGTAAATATTTCAGGTGGAACATATATTTTTAAAGATGATATTTCCTTGAATAATCATAATAAAATTTTTCCACCGTTATGCGTGCAGCTTGATTTTATTCCTGCAGAAAGACTTTTACATCATCTGAAATAACAAATTAGGTAACAGTCTTGTCGCTGTTACATAAGGTATATTTGTTACAAAGCTTTTTTGTAAAATACATGAGTTTGTTATAACGAAGGGACACAGAAGCCACTTGTGTACAAAAATGTACATACAAGATCAAATTTCGATATGTTGAATAATATCACTAACCAAACCATACAATGTATAGACATACAAAATTGGCTTTTTATCGGATAACACTAAATCGCAATGAGGGAACCCCGAGGGTTCCTGCGACCATTACTCTGTCTGGGCACACTAAAATGGTCGCAGGCACCCTCGGGGTTCCCTCGTTGCGATTTATCGTTATCCGATAAAAACCAATTTGATATGTCTATGGTTAGTGATAATACTGAAAGTCTGAAACGTAGTGTTTTCGAAAAGTACTTAGCAGCAAAAACGGACTGACGGATTTTGTAGCTAAAGATCAAAGTCGCTCAAAAAATTTTATTTAGATATGTACTTCTTCCTTTTCCTACTTTTTATTGCATTGCTGTTCTCTGAGAAACGCTTTCACTGCATATGTAAGCGTGATCACCTCTTAAAGTGCCTTGATGCTATTTCATTAATATTGGGCTGCTATATGGGGATGATTGCTTGGATCTTCTCTGGAATGCGTATACCTAAAAATTATAAATTTAAATACACTTGTTGATTATTACGGTAATACACAAATCTGACCTTAAAGCTTAATATCAATCTTCTTTTGATCTGATATCGAACATTTTTCCCACAAGACTAAGAAGTATATTTCCCTTGAGCTCTTTTCGATAAAATGTTGAAAAACGATAAATTATTGAATAGGGAAATTCATTTAATTACTTTTAAATGCTTGCTGTGGAAACATGTCTAGAATATTTTATAACTATGGCAGAGACGATTTTTTTAAATCGATAACTACATAAAATATTGATATGTGTCTGTAGATAGCTACTCATATTACTTCTCTTCAAAATTAAATTTGTTTGGATTTTTCATCAAGATGGCTTCTGCAGGTTTGATTTAAACTTAGATGTAGTTGATACATGATAGTAATTTAATATAGAAACTATTATGGTAAAATAATTAAACACAAGTAATATACTGTTTATCCAATGTTTCCTCGTGGCATATCTTGACACGTAATGAACACTTCACATAAGTGTGTATATATATATTTTTTTTTTAATTATTATATTATATTATATTATATATATATATATATATATATATATATATATATATATATATATATATATATATATATATAATATTAATATTAATGTTCATTATATTATATGGATTTGTGGTATATATGTAGATATGATATTTGTACTTATTTCACAAAAAGGGTACATCACACAATACAATGCAAAAGGTCTACAAACTTCTATTTACTTTTTTATCTTCAGGCAAGAAAGGGAAAAAGAATAAAGGCACTGTTATTTCTTTGCAATCATTTCTCTCCAATGGTGATGCACCGGCTGGAACTACACAAGTTTCAAAAAAGGTTCGAAATTTAGATGGTGATGAGAGTGATGACGGAAGCCACGCGTTACCTTTAGTTTATCAGCTACCCACCGCACCTAGAGCGAATCGAATATTTGATGATGATTCTATTCCTCATAAGCCACCCTTTATAGCGTATATTAACAATTTACCATTTGATGCCAGTGAGGATGATATATACGATTTCTTTGGGCCCATTAATCTAGCTTCATTAAGGCTGCCTCGGGACGATGGTGAAACTGGTCGGTCTAGAGGATTTGGCTATGTAGAATTGGAAAATAGGGACGACTTAATAAACGTGCTTAGTTTACCGGATCCGTCAATTAAAGGGCGTCGCATTCGCATTGAACTGTCCAATGAAAATGATCAACAAAACCGCCAAAAAGGTAATCGCCGATTTGAAGGCTTTGGAAATTCAAGTGAAAATCGGGATTCTGTAAATTGGAGACGAGATAGTCAAAACAATGGAAGTAGTTTCGGTGGATATTCTGGAACTTTCGATCGCAGTTTTAATCGTGAACGGAAATCCTTGACTGAAAGAGAAGATAACAATGCTCCTGGTTCATGGCGAACTAATAGCAGGCAGCCATCCACAGACTTTTCGCCTCCACGAAGAGACCGTGATCAAGCATCTGAGAAATATCGCATCAGAAACGATTCTAATGTAAAAGAGGATGCTGCAGCTTCTGAGGAAAGGCCAAAGTTAAATTTAAAACCTCGAACGCTACCATTACCGGAAATAGTAACTAAACCAGATAACGAACATGCTAATGAAATCGATACAAAAGTCAATGTTAAGCAAAGTGGTACACCTTTAAATGTATTTGGATCGGCTAAACCAGTAGATACCGCCACAAGAGAACTAGAGATCGAAGAACGTTTAGCAGAAACTCGACGACAAGAGCAAGTTCGTTGTGACGAAGAGGTTATTAATGGAAAGCTGTCGGAAGTTCAACTTGACAAAAATGATAGTGACAATGCCAATGCAGGAACTATTAGCTGGCGCCGTACTCAGGAATTTTCTGCAAATGATGATACAAAAGCTAGTCCAGGCGTACAGGGTAACAAACTATTTAATAAATCCACAAATGACCGGTATCAAATAATTATTTACCGTTATTTTCAGGTGAACGACGTCGTGAAGATCCAGATTATAATAGATTGAATAAATCACGGGACCGAAATGATAGGTAAATATTTACATGCTATGTCAATTTTTAAATATCGTTTTTTTTTTTTAAAGTACGGTAGTAAGGTAGTAAAGGTACTAACGTAGTAAAACTGTCATAAACATTAAGAGTTTATTTTTATACCCTTGCAGAGGGTATTATAATTTTGTCGTAAAATGTGTCGATATAGCAATGTCCGTCTGACCGTCTGTCTGTTTCTATGCGAACTAGTCTCTCAGTTTTAAAGCTATCTTAATGAAACCTTGCAAAAGTCCCTTTTTCTGTTGCACACAGCACATATGTCAAAACCAGCTGGATCAGACCACTATATCTCATAGCTGCCATAAGAACGATCGGTCGAAAATTAGGTTGTTGGAAGAAAAACATTTTGTTTATCAAGATATCTTGACCAAACTCGGCATTTATTAGTTTTACTATACTCCTCACATATATGCAAAATCCTATTAAGATCGGACCACTATATTATATAGCTGCCATAGGAACGATCGGTCGAAACCCAGGTTTTTGATTAAAACCCTTTTTTGGTTATTAGGATATCTAGACCAAACTCGGCATTTACTATTTTTCCGTTACTTCTTAGATACGGGCAAAGCACTATGAGTATTATGAAAAGGTTGGGTCTTCAAGGGTATTAGGTCTTCGGGGTGCCGAAGATAGCCCTTCTTTCTCGTTTATAATGAAATCGTGCGTTTATGAGGCAGAGTAGCTTAGCCCAGAAATTGCTTGCATTTTCACATTCGACTGGACATAAAGCATCAAGCGCTGTGTACAGCTTTAGCATGGAAGCATTGTATCGTACTGCAAAGAAATAATGCATTTAAACCAAATGACTTGCTGATTAAGTAAAAAATTGTTATTGCACTGTGCGACTTTTTTGACTACGGGTCTTAAATCTCTTACTTTGTAGAAGAAGCTGAATCTTAAGAGTTAATTTGGTCAAGATCACTTGATAAACAAAAAAGTTTTTCTATACAAGAACCTTCATTTCGACCGATTGTTCCTATAGAAGCTATAACTCGGATGTTGATGCTTATCTAGAATATATAAAAAAGGCACTTCCTAAATAAGTTAAACCTGTAGCATGCAGTGTTGCGCAAATGAGATGACTGATTATACGTAGTGTGGCGATGACCGACGCGATTTATTTTCATAAATCTAAGAACATTATTTCTTATAATCAAAGCTAGCCCTATGGCCTAAAATTCTGAATACGATGTCACAAGATGACTGCTTACGTCGCGGAGCGTTGCCCGCAACATTGTCGCTTACTGAAGCTTGAGCTTCTGGTGTTACTGTGCAATATTCACAGACTTTCTTCATCTATTGCCATGCCATGCGTGATCGGTTTGACAACTTCTATGTTGTCGGTGATCGGGTTAACTTTATAAGTTATGGGGTACCGGATGTTTCTTTCTATGCGTTACACATTTCATGATAAAATTATAATACCCTCTGCAAGGGTATAATAAGTTCTCATATCGAGTCGAACTCTCAACCTACCGAACCACTTGCTACGCCATACATGTGAGCACTTGTCTACAGAATTTCTTGCAGTATTTCGGCAGTAGCCGACGCAAACACGTGACCTTCCAATAAAACCACACGTGTTCTTTAATAATTCTCCTGAGTTCTGTGGTTTTTAACCGATTTTGATTGAATTGTCAGCATTAGATTTTATTGTACCATAGAATTTATATTTAATATATTGATAGTTAATGCTGAAAACGCCTTAGCCTTAAGGCAATATGGGATTGAGTTCCAGATATTTGGAAGGATTTTCGTTAGAATCTTTGAATTTAAATATTACCAAAAACAACCGACTATCTTGATCACAGTATTTAATTATACTCCTTAACAGGGTGAAAAGATAATATTGTTTTTGTGCAATGTCTTTCTTGAATGATATTATTTAACTACAAGAAATTCATAAACTCATGTACATATGTATAAACGCTTCAGATAACTTGTATAGATAATATGGCTACGCCTAGTGTAGACGTTTTCCACACAAAACCTACGACGCAGTTTGGAATAAAGTACTACTTCTATTACACTAAAAGTTACCACTCGGGGTGGACAAATTGGAGTCCTCGATGAGTTTATACATTTTTATACCCTGGGAGCCTCGTAGAGCTATAAATCAAGTTAATAAACAAATGCTGCTGCCCACCAATATAAGACACAATTTTAATGCAATTGACTTTTTGAGAATACACAAATATACAACAAGATATACTGTAGAAAATTTCATGAAACACGTGTTTGTGGTACCAGCGCAAATTCGAATATATGTACACATGTACACACACACGTTCAGACGCGTCTGCTTCACATTCTATCGCATTATTATTATTATTGGTGTGGCTGTTGAGCAGTGGCAGCGAAAGTGGTACGGTCTGTCGCGAGTTCGAGCCCTACCTGGGAAACTATTCTTTTTTTTTTTTGGCTGGTGTGGCTGTTGAGTAGAGTCATCAGCAAGAAATAAGGTCAGTTGCGAGCTCGAACCCTGCCAATCAATTTTTATTTTTATACCTTGAACCCATTAAAAATGGGTAATAAGGGTATATTGTATTTTTGCAAAATGCAAATGTATGTAACAGACAGATGGAAGCATCTCCGACCCCATAAAGTATATATATTCTTGATCAGCATCAATAGCCGAGTCGATCTAGCCATGTCCGTCTGTCTGTCCGTCCGTATGTATAAACGTAAGGATCTCAGAATCTATAAGAGCTAGAGACTTGAAATTTTAGATGTAGGTGCTCCTAGTTCCCGCGCAGATCGAGTTTCCGATAGTCGATAACTTACTCCGTTTCCAAGCAATCGATTAAAATTAATATCGATATCCTGTTTCTTGGGCAATTTTGGTAAATAATAACAGCTAGAGTCACCAAACTTGACATATAGCTTCTAAAATAGAATATGTATATGCATTTGATGCTGGAAGAAGAGGGTTCAGGGGAACCCTAGTCTGGAGCTCCCGACTGGTGTGGCTGTTGAATAGAGTCGCCAGCATATAGTGCGGTCAGTTGCGAGTTCAAACACTGCTAAGGGAACTTTTTTAAATTTATCTTTATTACTTCAAACGAGAGCGTAGCGCAAGCAGAATTTGGATTTTATTTGAGCTGTTGTTAGGCTTTGAACAAGCATAACAAAGTCAGCTGCATCCAACTAAAAATGCTCTTACTTAAATTTGAAAGGGGAACTAGACTACTGGTTTATTTAAGAATGCTAATATTGATTTAAAGACACTATTTTTTTTTCTTGGTCAAATCACACCCTAACATTATTTAAAAAATGTTTTGTGTATTACTTATAGTAACGCATGATCATGAGATTACTTTAAAGTTTTGTTTGTAATATTTCATTATTATTTACATATTAACCTATTCGCTTATACACTGCTCATTTTCCGTCGCGAATCTGTCCGCGTGCGATTTAATCAATCGCTTTTTTGCCGCCCCTCCCATTCTTCGCATCCTTATAAACTAGTATACCCTTTTTAAATTGGTCATGACATGTGTAATGTATGGAAGGAGAAATCTACGACCCCGTAGAGTAAATATATTTTAGATCAGCATCAACAGCCAAGTTGATATGGTCATGTCCGTCTCTCTTTCTATGCGAAAAGTCTCTCAGTCTTGATGCTATCGTCTTGAAACTGTGCATAAGTCCGCTTTTCTGTTGCGAGCAGTACATAGGTGCCAAACCATCGAAAAGTAGGTTCTTGTATGGGACACTTTTTGTTTTACTATGCTCCCTATATATATGCAAGATCCTTTTATCACCAGGCCACTAAATCAGATAGTTGCCGTAGGAACGTTTGAAGGTCCTCTGGGCGAAAGTTTTGTTTTTCCGTATCAAAAACGTAAGACTTAAACATGCGTTATGTTGCTGCATACCTGTTGGCTGTCCTCGGTGGACAGGAGAGCCGCGCCAATACCGATCTGAAGAAGATCCTCAGCTCGGTGGGCATTGAGTCCGAGGCAGAACGTCTCACCCATGATCGAAGAACTCAAGGGCAAGAGAATAGACGATCTGATCAAGGAGTTTCGCGAGATGCCCGTTGGCGGCGGTGCTGCCGCCGGTGGCGACAAGAAGGCAGCCAAGAAGAAGGAGAAGAAAGAGGAGTCCGAGTACGAATGTCATGGCATGGGCTTTGCTCTCTTTGAAAAGGCAAACTTCTTCATCTTGTCCAACCATTCGTATATACTGTTTAAACCAACAGCAGCAGTTCTTGAGGACAGCCGGCAGTATTAACAGCGTCTGCTTTGCACAGTGGCACACATTGCTTTAAATTTCCGTTAGAAATTTGTTCTTGACCACCCAACGACAAATATAAAACCAACAATAAAAGAGTTGACACGTTTATTTCTATTAAATAAAGGTCTGCAGTGTTTACGCTTTATATATGTACATACATATATTTATAAACAAGTAAGAGGTTCTAGTCGGGAGCTCCCGACTAGGGTTCCCCTGAACCCTCTTCTTCCAACATCAAATGCATATATATATTCTATTTTAGCAGCTATATGTCAAGTTTGGTGACTCTAGCTCTTATTATTTACCAAATTGCCCAAAAAACAGGATATCGATATCGATTTTTATCGATTGCTTGGAATCGGAGTAAGTTATCGATTATCGGAAACAAACTCGATCTGCGCAGGCACTAGAAGCACCTACATCTAAAATTTCTAGCTCTTATAGGCTCTGAGATCCTTGCGTTCATACATACAGACAGACAGACAGACGGACATGGTTAGATCGACTCGGTTATTGGTGCTGAACAAGAATATATATACTTCATGGGGTCGGAGATGCTTCATTCTGCCTGTTACATACATTCGGATTTTGCACAAATACAATATACCCTTATACCCATTTTCAATGGGTTCAGGGTATAAAAATATATGGCAAACTATTCTGTGGCCGAAGACATTTAATCAAACTCAGCATTTACGAATTTCACTTTTATCACATATCTGCCAAAGGGAATTGTC